TCTCGTACCAACAATTGAGCTGCTCCTTAATATGGTCACTTGAAAGGTAAGCATCACTCTGAAGTAGTCAGTGCTTTCTCAGTCAGTGAAGAGGAAGATGTGTCCCTGGAGCACAGTTTGTCCTCCCCTTGGGAGCTGCACATTCCTTGCAATAACAATAAAGAAAAAGCCCAGATAATTAGCATGTTTGGGTTTCATATGGAAAAAATTTAGATGTGATTAATCCCTCCCTAAGTAAACACAGATCTTATACTGAAGTTGAGGAAAGCTATACTAAATTCAGACTTAAGTAATGTTTATGAGGTAAGTATCATCAGAAAGTTTGGGGAACTCCCAATGCAGAGACATCGGTAGAAGATTACTAAGACAAGCAAGATATATGATACCACAGTGAGAGAAAAAACGAGGTGCTTTTGTTATACGTGGTCCACAAGTTGATTTGCATGCGTGATCAGTAGCACAGACTCATTGAGGAATATTTCAGAGTACTACATACCTTTACAAGAGCAATAGTAAAAAGATTCTCCTTGTAATACAACTAAAACCTCACTTGAAAGCCCCTTGTGAGTTTCTTTCAAGAACGGGGCACTGGTCTTTGAACTGGAAGAGTTATTATCCTGCAGTGGGAAGGCCTCAACCCCAAGAGGGAAATACACTAACAATGTTAGGTCTATCCTGTATTCTGTAGGACTGCCTTCTCCTCCAAAGTCCTGAAATACATCACTGTTCAGCAGAGAGATAGCATATTTCATTATATTGTGAATATCTATATAACCCCAAAACTAGTAGGCTAGCTGAAAGCAAAACATATTTATAGGTATCTAAAAAGCATTTTGAGAGACAGGTAACAGATCAAGGCAAAAATTCTACATATTTGATAACGATCATGTTTGCTACATCCAGCAAAGAAGCCTAGGATGCAATTAATGTTCTAGTAACTTTACTAATTTTCTAGCCTGGGTGGATTCCCATATATTTATCAAATATGTATTCAATTTAGTATGACTTAAGCTACCTGCCTCTGCAGAGGTAACTCAAACAGTAAAGGTGATGCTTCTCAGCTCTACATCAAGTTTTGACTCTCTAAAGACTCAAGTACAGCAGTGTGCAGGAAAGCCAGCCCCAGAGCAGAGACCAGGCCAGGGTACAGGTGTCCTACAAGTGAGCCCTTTCCTCTGCCTTCCTCTGCAGTGGCAGCACCTCCCGCCCCTACCTCTCCATCCTGTTCACAGAAAGCTCAAACCCTGCTCTGGAGCCTCTCATGTTCCTTCCCACCAGACCTGGGGCTGCCACGCTCACTCTCCAAAATCACAGCCATTCCTCCTACCTCCCCCAAGCCTCCTTGGCTATACCCAGGGCTTCACCACATCTTCCTACAACAGCTCTGGATGCAACTGAATAGAAAATCAGATGGAGAAGAGCGTTATGCTGCAGACTGTTGAGGAGAATGGTTATTAAGCGGCCACAGGCTTTTCCAAAGGGCTGTCCACGTGCTGCTCTGAGGACTTACTCCCTGCATCGTCCTTCCCATGGCCAATGCCAGGTGCTGATTTGCAGTCTGGGGCATATTCCAAATCACTCCTACCAAACAGAAACAACTTTACACAACTGCAACTAGAAGGTCTCCAGACAATATGCTTTCTGTTTCCTTTCCTAGATGAGAAGCATTTCCCATGAGGACCAAGATTACCACTCGCTTCAGTGATACCAGACTGAAGTCCTGTGTTGCTGCATTCCCAACCTGCTGCTGCTGAAATGCTGCAGTCTGTCATTTAAAGGCATATTTCAACAAAAAAAGTCAAAAACGATTTGCCTAAACCTGAATAAGAAGAAAGGATTAGGAAGGCAGAGGAATAATAATACATCAATTTAAGAAAGTTCTTGCTGTGAATATAAAAAAGTGTGTCAGTAATCTGCATTGATTGCTTGGAGAAAATTCAGAGGGCATGAGCGCTCAGTTATCTTTGCACTGCACCTTTTTTTGTTGTGCTTGTACCAATGTACATTTAACAAAGATTAATATGCTCCCACCAAATCCATAGTTTCATGAAATCCATGGGGACATCTGGCAAGAATCTATCAGAACTTTTTTCTCCGTATTCCCTGCAAAAACATTAGTAACCAGTGAAGTATTCTTAAGTGAGAGGCTGCTGGCTGGGGTTAAACCACAACAGTTGGGAAAAGGAAATGGATGTTTTATTGATGCAGAAACAAGATCAGTGGGAATTCAAAATATAAAGTTGAAAGAAAACATCAGGTTGAGCAAAAGACCCTTCCCCTGAATTTGGAAACAGCAAGTAGCTATTAAAAGAGTGTATAAAAAAAGGGATCACTAAAAACTTCATCATTTAGGGAGTTAATAAATGTCTTTGGCAAACCTGTTATCATTTGCATGTTTTCTCTGGCCTCACAGGAATACATGATGTGACATCATGTCTTACATAAAAAGGAGGGAAAGGAAATGAATGCAGCTTTGTTTTACCAACTGGAAAAAGAACTATCATTAGGAGATTCTTTCAAACTCAATTATTTATTCCCTATTTGCACTTTCTCTTTGCTTGAAGAAACCCATTTATAACCTGATTTTACAACTTAATTTAGCAGCCATATTTGACCATATATTATTCCATACTATCCCAATGTAGCATTAGAAAATTAGATTAACACAGCATCAAAAAAAAGTATTGAGAGACTGATGCATAAAGTTCCTGTTGACATCAATTACACTTAAGTCAGATGTCGAGACTGGACAGTTTGCCTATGACTGACTTGTGCTACTAGACTCTGCAACAACAAAGTAAATAAGGTTTAGGCATGGAAATTGTTAAGATACTTGAAGAAAAGCAGCCAACAAGTTAATAATATTCAGCCTAATAAAGATCTGCTAAATCCAAGGGGGTTGGGGTACTAGCCTACTTTCATGGAAAGATTAGTTTTGGAATGAGCAAAGTCTGCACCACAGACTTTAAAACAGACCACAAAACTACCAGTGTCCACATTTGAGAGATTTGCTTGGGAGCAAGGGTGAATTACTTTTGGCAGGCAACTAAAAGTACCTGAAAACCCTCATGAGGGTGGTTCAAATATCTGGGTCCTTTATGCCCAGTCCAGAAGAGATGTGCAGCTCTATGTTGACAAGCATTACAATGAGCCATCCACTTTCAGAACTATCACACTAAAAAGATTTACAGCACATTTACAAGATCTAGCCCTAATTTTTTGCAAGAACATGCAATGATCACTATTAAAACACAGGTTTAGATCAGTCATTTTCCCTGCTAGGAGGAGGCAGGGCTGTCACCTTCTCTGTCATTAAGACACGTAGGTGAGTGAAAACATAATGACGGATTTATGTGGTAGAATGTAATTTCACCCTGCTTAAACCAAACATCTGTATAGCCTAACAAATATCATGCCCTCCTGAATCCCACTTCAAAATCCAAGAGCATATCCCTCAAGATGATTACCTACCTCAAAAAAAGCTGAAAATTGAGTGCCAGAGTTAAAAAAAAAGCACAGCAAGATGGTTTCACAACAGCCTTGAAGCTCCAATCAGTTCTCCTGGGCATCACAGCCTGTAGGCACAGCTTTCAGAAAAACCACAAAAAATCCACCACTATCTTCAACCAAGACCACTAACTGTAAATGCACTTCCACCATGTAGTCAGGAGAACTGAACAGGCTCTGGCTGTGTCTGGAGCAAATTCACACTGCCTGACCCCTCAATCAACCGACAGCCAGGTCAGCACAGTGTGGGACCTGAGCTGGGGGAAGCCAACATCCCTTGTGCTTCAGCAATCTTTTTGCTCCCATTTCGCTCTAGAATTGTGGGGATGAAGAAAGTTACATGTCAAAGTAGTGCCACTATCATGCTAGTGGCAGCTTGTTAAGGCAATCAGTAGATCTGGGGAAAAGTAGTAAGGATGAGAAGTGAAGAAAAAGGAAACAAATGCACTAAAAAGGGTAGGATGAAGTACCACTAGAAGAAAACAACCATATATAGTAGTTATCATAGCTATCACTACTCTAAATGTAGGCTAAAAATTTAGAAGTATGGCCAAGTTGCTCACTTCTAATGGACAAGCATTAAAAATTACATAAATAATAGTAGTACAGCTAAAAAAGTATCATTTGTTTCCCTTGGAATCTGAAAGCTGCTGTCTTCCATTCTACAGGATCCAGGCATTCAAACAGTTAGTTAATCAATCAATAGCACAATAAATGAAAGGAAAATGGTTGAACCTTTTGGAAAATGACAAGATCTCATTTACATCTCGAATCCACTGTGTGGTTTGCTTGTGGTTGGAAGTCAGCTGAGGGTTGGACAAGCTGCATGTAGCACATACTCCAGAGCCACAGTACACCAAGACCGCAGTCCTCAAACATCTCTCAAAGGACAGTAAGTAAAGTCCTGTGAGCACTCACCACTAGGCAGCTCAGATACATCCTTGTATGTTTAAGGCTCAAAATCAGTAATTTGTTTTTGCCTTTAATCAGGCTGTGCCACTGTGCATATTAATTTAAGCCTCGGTTACAAAGGGGAGATATGTTACTATACAGAACAGTTATTGCCTGAAAAATGCACTGGCCAGTTCCTAAAAAATGGGTGAGGGGAAGACCTACAAGCTGCAGAAATTATCAGTTCATACTTTTCCTCTAATTACCAACTCAATGAGTGCCTCTTTATTTTTCAGGTCACTTCCCAGTTATATATTACGTTTCCTTTGTTCCACAACCTTTAATTCTTTTCCAGTCTTGCAGAATTAACTGGACAGGTTTTTTAATCTTGTCTTTACAAAGAACTTGTTGTAATTGCAATGAATGCTTTCATTTTGCTGGTGTCTGAAATACGATTTGCAGGAGAAGGGGGAGTGTGGGTTGATGCTAGTCCCATCATTAATAACATTCTTGCAGGGATTGTAGTGGCGGGAGTAAAAACCTCAAAGCTTTTATATAATAACAGCATGTGTCTGCACGTGAGCTGCTCCTTTAAGAAGCCCTGGGTTACTGGAAGTAGAGAGATCTGGAGAAAAGGCAGCCCTACAGCTATAACAGAGGGCAGAGGTTAAATATTTTGACATATTTGCCATAAGAATGGTCACTCCACACCCTCTCCCTGAAGGCTTCACTGAAATAGAGGTGTTTGCCCTGGGCACTGCCCTGCTGGTAGAAGGTAAGTCCGATGTGGGACCTCAGCAGCAGTAGGACTTTTTCCCCTATTATTTGTGATGAGAGGGGGAAGAAAAATTGAAATAATCTGCAGCATTTGTGGTACACTGACCGTGGTTACTGTGGCCACATCACCAGTACTTCTGCTGAGTAAATCAAGGGGAGCTCTAAGCCGTTTGCAGTGAAGATCTGCACTCTATGCGTGGCTGTGGCAGCGAAGTACTTCTCAAGATTTTGGGATTTAAGATTTTGTTGTTGACTTTTAAAGACAATTTTATCTTCCTCGGGGGAAGGATATTGAAATGACTGATAGTCTCTCAATAAACTTGGACTGCTTGTTTTGTGGGCTGTGATGACTCTCTTATAATCCAACATGATAGGTCCAAAATAGCCTGTAAACTCTTAGCATGCATCCAGATTGCGTTGGTAGAGCTGCAATTAATGGCTGCTGGCTAAAAGTAAAAAACCTGTATCAATTTCATTTAGCCAGTGTGGACTTTCCTTAAGGCATAAGCCACTTTGTTGAGAGACTGCAACAAAACTGTGAACTTATATCTACCTTGCAGCTAGCAAAGGGGGTGCCAGGGACCTGCGGCTGTTGAAGTTAAAATAAAGTAAATGACACCTAAAACTAGATGTGGTCTAACACATTTATGATTTACTAAACACAAATATTTTCTGTAGGGCTTTAGGCAAAATGTGCCCAGCAGATTGGCAGTAAAACTCTGTCTTTGTCAATGGACTTAGCAGATCGAACTAAATAATTAAAGATTAATTCACTTTCTGAAGACTCTGAGAGAAAGTTGATGAAGACCCCTCTTTTTACTTTTTGTGGCAGCTTATGCAGTTTGCAAGGAAGCTATGGGGAAGAGTTCCATTTACTTTATTAACTGGACACATTTGCTGATCTGAAAATGAAAGTTCAAAGCTATAATTTTTAAATTTAGTAAGTTCTCTATTTGTACACTCATGCTGACCTTCAAGAGAGCAGAATGTGGTGAAGCCTGAAGCTTCAAAAAAACAAGGGAAAGACAGAAAAAGTTGATGTAGTAATAACTCTTCAGCTCTACTCTAAATATGCTCACAACATATCTCTCCTAAAGGCTTCTTTGCATTTGGGAGAGTTGACAGCAGTTTTACCCTGTGGGTGGGAGGTAATCTGGCAGGGAGGAAATAAGAACAGCAGATCTCAAGTGACTCCAAATATTTCTCCTGGAAATATTTTGTTATATGTTGTGTAATAAACACACATCAGCTGTTACTATGGTTATGCCATCAGCCATTAATGCAATTAAGGTAGAAGCAGGATTTTAGACTAGAAAAAAATCATCCATCTTATGTAACCACGGAATTAAGACAATGAGCATAAGTAACTACAGTACTTTACAGAATTAGGGGATATAGAGTTTTTCTGTGCTACATAATTTCTTTTTCCAAGAAGAACACAAAGAAAAAGACACCGTGTCTCTCATCTAACTGAAACTCAGAGATTGAATGTTGAGTCAGAGCCTCATCAGAGCTAAAATAATTCAGGTCACCTTGAAAAGGGCATTAAAGGACAAAGCTTGAATTTAAACCAGTGAAAAATGGGTTTCAGGGTGGCACAGCTCTGTGCTGGGTGAATAGCTGGGGTTGCTTGGATGGTTCTGTCTGAGGACCAACATTTATTTATTTTTTTAAATCTGTCTGTGACTGCTTTTCATAATTAGATTATTCCTTTCCATGTATAGTCTATTGACGAGGCGCAGTAATAAGATTGAGCTGATGTGATTCAAGCACTGTGTAGGCTAACCTTAGACAGAAGCCCAAAGGGAGCCAGGCTGACTGAAACACAGCTGAGGGATTTCCATGCTTAGACACAAAAGAATGTTATAATTGATATTGAACACAACCCTTTTCTCTATCAAAGGCAGGCCTGGAGATGTGTACACCAGCAGCATATGCTGGCTGTCAGCCCCTCTGAAACTGCCTCCCCTGCATCTCCCTTGCTCTGAACTATGTGTCCCTGGATGAACTCTGACAACTCAGTTTCTCTTATTATAACAAAAAGCAGAATTACAAGCAAGATCAAACCATTTCTGCTCCACGTGACTGGCCATATCCCTGACGCAGTTTGGAGCACTGGCTTCAGCTGTCACCTACAACTTCTCTCTTGAAAGCCTTTGTAACTTGCATGCAGACTGACCACTACAGATTTATTCCCTGCGTGCGTATGAGTTTCCACTGTAATTATTGTTCCCTCATTAAAGAAAACAACAGTATCATTGTAGATGTTTTCCATTTCCAGTTGAATCACACCAAACAATTCTATCTTTCAGCCCTGCTTGGTTTCTGTCTGAATGGCTTGACAATTCTCTCCTTCCGAAAAATCAAAGAACTCCGAACACCCAGCAACCTGCTGGTTGTCAGCGTTGCGCTGGCTGACTGTGGGATCTGCATCAATGCATTCATCGCTGCCTTCTCCAGCTTCCTAAGGTACACCTTAAAGCTTTTCCTAAGGGATGCTCAGAAGAACCGCATGAAAATTAATAGCTTAAGTTGTAAGAGATCAAAGTAATTAAATGACTCTCTCTCTACCACAACACATAGCCAACCTTCTTATTCTCTCAATTTGAAACGGGAAAATGAAACTCTGTATAGCTTTACCAGGCAAGCAGAAAAGCAGATTTTACTGTGTATAATCACTGGCAGAGTGTAAGATTGATTATAGAAGATATTTAACCAGACAGCTTTACCCGTCATTATAGAAGCTACTTGAATACCAAAATACCATTTCACTAAACCTCTAGATTGACCTCAAATTTATCTGCAAGTCTTTATCTGTTTGGGGTTTTTTTATTAACCTTTCCATTAAAGCACTTATTTGAGAAGTTTCTGTTACCAGGGAGTTCACATCAGTTATGACACAATTGTTTTTCTACATTTTCACACATGTCAATCATTTAATCAGAGGACAGAAACAACATCAAGCATTTTAGTAAATAATTACAACAAACAAATCACAAGCAAATCATACTCAAAAAACCCACCACCACTATATAAAATAGCTGATGAATAATTTCACCTTGGTATCATATTTTTACACCCTGGAAAGACCTTTAATTCAAAACAGAAATGCATTTCAAGCCAGAATGTGACCACTTTATTATCTCTTAATGGCTATAAAAAGTATTTACGAATTAACAAGTAAATAAGTTCCAATGGGGCCTTATTTAATAATATTTTACCTCCTATATAGGTCAGTCTTGTTTCAGACACTTACGTCCAACTGTAGTAAATAAAGACACCTTTATGGAACTGGAGCTGAGAAGCCAAGGTCAATACATCAAAATGTATTTAACCATTGCAGGACCTTTTCTTTCAAATAGGACCACAAGTTTCCCAGCCTCTCAAGCAGTAAGCTGTCTCCTGTTCCAGGGGTAGTCTCCTTATGTATTATACCGGTGTTGTGTAAATATATGAGAAAGGAGATTGCTGAAGATTTCTGCACAGCCGTGTTTACGAGCATAAGAGTCAGTTTAGATGAACACAGAAAGAAAAAAAAGTCATGGCTCCTTTTCATTCTGTGTCTGCAAAGACATTGGGAAGTTCTTTTCCTTTTCATTATACGTCTGCAAAGATATCGGAGGCCTCAGTCTGGCTATCAAGAGTATTTTTATTTGTTGTGAGCTTTTGTACTGTGTTGCATGGTGAACTCAGTTTCAAAAATTCATTTGCTACTTTGACGCATTGATGAATTGGCTGCTCATAAAGGATACAAATTTCGAAGATGTGGATAACTGGATGAAATGTAGATTTCAAATTTAAATTTAAACTTTTCAATGCAAAAATGCAGGGTTATATTTTCATCTCAGTATTAAGAGTAGAAATAGCTGCTGTACTGTATCAGACATCACAGCAAGAAAAATGCTGGCATATACCTAAAGGCAACCACAATAGCATCTTTTACAATGTCTCTCAGAGAGCTTGAGCACAGTCTATCATTTTACCCTCTCTGTTAATGAATTTCCAAACATGTCTTCATCTTTCTCTACCATTTTCTTAACATATTCCTTGTTTGTTGACAGATACTGGCCCTATGGCTCTCAGGGCTGTCAAATTCATGGATTCTGTGGCTTCCTGACAGCACTAGCCAGCATTAACTGCAGCGCTGCAGTCGCCTGGGACCGATACCATCACTACTGTACAAGTAAGGGCCACAATTTACTGAGCAACCCCACCCAGATTCTGCTACAAGGCAGCTTGCTTAGGTTTCTGAGAATCAAAGAAAGCACATATTTATTATTTGTGTATCTTACACCTAAGTTTGTTTATTTTACACACTAGAGACGGAGCAAATATAAACAATTTCTCCCAAGGACCTCTTCCCATACAGGGAGCAATCATCAACCACCTTCAGGAGATATTTCTTCTTCCAGATCACATCCAAGTCATGATCCTCTTGCCACGCTTTCTCTTAAACCATAACGATTTTTAAAATAAAATCCCAACCGAAATCCAACCCTTTGCATTGAGGAAAAATCTATTCACCTTGGGCTTTCATCCAACACCCTGCTGCGCACCAAACAGATATTTATGCCCATGCAGAGTTTACTAATTACAGATGAATTTGATGTAACTGGAGAGCCGCCTCTGCAGAGACGGCAGCTGGAACAGAGCCCATGCAGAGGCATGATCAGGCAGACAGAGCTCAGCAGTCCCTTTGTGTGACACACAGGCATTTTGGGGTGCCAGAGACATTCGTGGGGTTTATGTTTCATTCCAGGCCCCCTTATGAGCACTGGAACTTGATACATTTGTTCCCAAGCAAGGAACAAATTATCTGCAAGTTTCAATAAAAACGGCAGAGCTATTTTTAAGTACTAATTGATAAGAGTAGGAATGTGCTCATGTGGGTTTTTTTCCTTAGTGAAGGCCATTTTTTGTTTGTTTGTTTTTCTTGCAATTTAGTTTTTAACTAACTCTGACACCTCACCTGGATTTAATGGAAATCTAATGTTAGATAGGGAGATCAACCTACGAAAATAAATTTGTCCTTTTTTGTCAATTTATGAAAGAATATTTTTGATTTAGGTGAGAAATAGAGATTGACAGGATTTACGAATATATGGATTTGACTTCTATCACAGAACTTCCTCCCAGTATTTGACAGTACTTCATTTGTGCATTCAAATCAATCCAAGAATGGAAATGTCTGCTGAATTAGGGTGCTGAGTTGGATTTGGTGTCTGCAGGGACTGCTAGGATTTGTGCTGGAACTCCAACCATGCACTAGCCACTGCTGTGGATACAGGAGAATAACTCCATTCTCTTAGCTAGCCCAGAAGTTGGGAAGCACACCAAAAGGCTTTATCATCAACTGTAAAACAAATTGGCAGCCTTGTGAGCACTGGAACTTGCAAAACCTGCTGTCTTGTAAATAAAACACGGTGCACAGGGATGATATTCCTTTTGTATAACAGGATAGACCCATGCTGACTGCTCTGTGGGTGCTTTCATGGGGACTCACCTCTCCCCAGACATCATCTTTCACAGTAAATGCAGCAACTTAGTACCTGTCAGTCCCCACTTCCTCCTCCAGTTTACTTTAAGTAGCCAGAGTTTTCAAAAGTTATTGGGAAGGGACTGAGTGACAAGCACAGGGTATACAATTTCATGCCCTTCGTTATGAAAAGTGAAGAAGACATGATATGAAATACAAATCTCTGTCCTATTCTGAAAGGACAAAGAACCTCTTAAAGGTCTTTTCCAACCTTAACTATTCTATGTTTCTATGACATCCTGGCACTCAGCAGTGTTTGAAATGCCCTAATCTGCACTCTTTGGCCATTTTGGCAGTCATGTGGGAGCTCTGCCATCTGGGAGAAATGGATGAGGTCCTCCCATGCAGATATGCAGCTTTTATGTTTCCTGCTAAAGCCTGTTTTTTTCTAGAAGAATGAGGAATCCAGAGCACTTCATGTAACCACACTGTTCTCAAAAAAAGCTGTCTCTTTGGCAATGTTGATAGACAAATTCAACCCTCCTTTTCTTGTGATAAAGCACAGGTTGCTCAGACCACTTCACAAAATATTTTCTAAGGGAAATTGTAGACATTTGTTGGGGAAGAAACTGCTGAGCTGCAGTGCTTCAATGCCCTCCTCTGTTAGCATCCACACAACCTTTCAGGCACAGCCTCCATGTGATTAAAGCAGCAAATAGTGAAACACAAACCACACAGGGAATATATTCAATCTGATCATCCTGTTGAGGTGAAAAGGTTGCCAATTTTTTGTTCTGCAACTCTTACAGGAATTCAACTCAGGCAAGGAAATTCTTTTTTTCATGTCTAGATAAAGGACCCCAAAAAAGCAGGCTGTAAGCTAAATCCATACTAACACCCCTTGGACATCAAAATGTGTCTGGAGCTAGAAGAGCAGCATCTGTATTTTACAAGAGAGAGCCTGAAAATAAGCATGTCTTGGAAAGACATTTTGCTCTCTGCAACATTGACTTTAATGCCTTTGTGTCATGACTTCCTCCAGTCATGAGCACACACTACATTAAGAGCACAGGCAGAGAGACCCTAAGGGCACAAACTTCTTTACTTTGCTCAGATTGTTACTTACTGATGGCCAAACATGGCTGCTACAGCGAACACTCTGAACAACAAAACCTAAAACCCAGAAGGTGCTCAGGCCCTGGGGCTACTCCAGTAAAACCAGCCCTTTCTAGTTGCATCCTTCACATGCTGATTGCAAGGAAGATTAACTCATATTTCACAAACATGCTATATCAGACCTGCAGGCTATACTGTGTTCTCAATCCATACATTAAACTCCTGTTGACACCGGTGCACACTGCATGCCTGTACAGAAGGTACAAAATACCTTTGCCTAAAAAACAAAGCTATCAACCTTGTATCTTCATTAGCCAGGAAATGATAATCCTTCCAAACTCAATTACATCATCCCCAATTTTTTTGTCATGTCCTAACAGTTTCCCAAGAAAACCTTTGCTGTAGCATTTCTCAGTTTGACACTGGATTATCCACTATCTGTATTTCTGAGGAAGAAGGGGCTGACGGGAATGTGAGAGATTACTATGATGATAGGAAAATTTGGGACTTTACAGCCATTCTGGATGCCAATAACACAAATTTGCTCACCAACACTGAAAACAAACAAGTTTTTAAATTTGGCAGTCAGTACAACCCTCAGTGACAAAGGGCTAGCCTTTAGAGTGTATTGATAACTAGACGAGTCACTCTTCAGAAGTGAGGTTGATATTAACTGACATAAGGAAGAAAATAGTATTACCACCACACGTGATAGAGAAGGTAGAGTTTCAAGATATTTTACTCTGCCCTCTTTTGGTTTTTTCCTGTCAAGCAACCACACTGGGCAACTATCTTCATCCCCTAAATGTAGCTTTGGGGCCTATGAGGTGCTGCGTTCACAACAAGGAGAAGAGAACCAAAGAAATAGCCTGAAAGTATGCAGTAAGAGGAGAAAAGGCAGGGAAATATGAAGAGTATCAATGTCAATCACCAGCAAGACGGAAAACCAGATAAAATTGTATTTCAAAATTTGATCATTAAGGGGAAAAGGAGAAAACAGAAGTAGTTTTATCCTAGTGCCTGACAGTGAAGAAGGAAAGGGCGAACTCTGAGGGAGCTGTCTGTCAGCAGCCAAGCATTCAGGACAGAAGGTGACAGTTTTCATCAAGGTAGACATTATAGTTCTCCCTCCTTGGCCATTCAGAAAAGAAAAATGTCCTGAATTACGTTAACATAACAAGGGAGGAAAGACACAGCAGCCTGGGAGGCCTCTCTGGAGCTGGGATCAGGCAAGCAGAGGGCAGCTGGTGGAGATCCCAGGGGATCAGTGACCTGGATAGCAGGCAGTCACGTACCACAGAGATGTCCTTGCTGAAGGCATCTCAATCAAGCACATTATTCATTTTGGTGAGGAGATGTCACACTGCCACCAGAAGTTTGTGGAGAGAGGAAGGATCCTGGTCAGTTTTTTCCCTTTCATAAGTACAGTTACAGTTTTAAAAGGAAAGAAAAAAAATCTAGAAGATTTTACACTTGCATTTAAGAATTAGGGGGAAATGGAAAATCTGAAGTGATTTATGTCATTACTTCTGTCTATACTACAAAAGAAAATGTGAATAAAACCAGCAGGGATTTCACAGCAGTATTCAATTTCAAGAAGTAGAATTGCAGTGAGTTTTATCTAATCCTTAACATTCAAGGAAATCTGGGTTGTTATATCAGTATTCAAAAATTACCAAACTACCATTTGTTCCAATTTCAGCTGTCAGCTCTGTCAAATTAGGAGCAAATCCTTAACTCATGTCATATCTACTGCAGCCACCCTGCCACATTGCCTTCATCTAGTTTTGCACCTGTATCAGTTTTCCCTGACAAAATGTCAATGTTTATATAGATCTTGCATTTTTCACTGAAGTAGAAGGTAATCACCAGAACAGCTCTATGATCATGGAGAACCACAGAAAAAAAAAAAAATCAATGGAGTAAAAAAATCCCTTAATTAGGTTATTTTAAAGAGCTTTTTCTAATAATATGCACAAAATAAGCTATTACGCATTGCAGCTTTCTTATTTCTACAAGAAATGAGTACTTGTGAGCACCAGTGACTGGTGCTTTTTGCAAAGCAGATTAAGTAGGTACTAACACCTACTTTACTTATGACTGATACATATTTTTGCTTATAAGACTTTCAAATATCTTCGTCTTTGACAACCTTCTAATCTTAAGTGATGCATGCCATGAAGTCTGGTACAAGCTATATTGTTCTGGAATATATCATAACTTAATATTATACAGCTATTATAACTAAACCATTTGCAAGAATGAGGAAAACAAACTTTTTTCTGTCCATCATAGAAAATCCTGTTCACGTTTTATTTGAGAAATTCCCTTTGAACAGCAGGCTGAAATCTAGCTGAAAGGTAGCCACTGTGTCAGTGATGTATTTTTTGCTCTTTCTGTGCAAATCAGCTAAACATTTGAAAAAATCATAAATCTTAAAAAAAAAATCTACATTTGTAAATGTTCCTTCAAACTAAAGATGGAGATATAATTTATGGTTATGTCACCAAATACTGGCCATCATAATCAAAAGGATGAATGTCCCATGCTCTATCTAGTACTTTCTAAAATTTAAGCTCTTGACATCAGAATTTTAGTAATCTTTAAATAATGGTGGGAGGGTTCTGTTTATGAGAGTGACCTTGTTCTGTCCCAAAGCAATTACAGAAGCCATTTGAAATCCCCTGTATTAATATTGCACTGTATGGAAAAGAGAAGCTTTACTTTTGCTTTTCAAAGGGAGAAAGCCAGAGCACAAGAGTGATTAGACTTAATAGGACCAAACTGCAAGCACTGGGCCCTAATTAGGAATTATATCTGTAAGCATACGCTGAACTCCATGCATAGACATTTAATTGAATTAGGACCTACACAGCTATTATGTTAAATTTTATCAGGCCCAAAAAAGTCATTTAAAGTAAAGCAATGGCCTGCTGTGCACAAAAACAACCAAACCGCTTTCCACCTAGGCTCTTACTGTCAGCCTTCTCAGGGGAGGACATTTTTGCCATGTGAACCAATCACAATTCTTTCACTGTTCTTGTACTGAAAGTTTTTTTTTTCTGGGTAAAACTAAAATAATATTGAGCTTCTTTACTTTTACATTTATACATTTCTAGCTGCTTTTAATGTGCGAGTAAATATTTTCTGAAGGGTCAACAAGCAGCTGATTTCACCAGGTCTGCTTCACCATTAATCTCATTTTGCAAAAGGTTAAAGCCAAAAGGAAAAACTTAATTTTGTTCTCTCTTCTAGTCTCCAAAATAGGATTCCTTAAGTGTGAGGAGAGACAATAGAGGAACTCAGCCTCAAGATGAGATTTCCAAAGGCAGGCTGTAAAGACATGCCTGGGGCCAGACTCCATTTTTGCATAGTCCTCCATTCTACATCTAATAAGAAAATGGTGATCCCTAACATATGTGGAAAAGTAACTAAAACAAACTTTTTCTTATAGTTTTTCATAGAAAAGGCACAAACATTAAAGCAAAATTTAGGAAAATAAAGAGAAAAAAAAAAGCAAGTTAATGAAAAATAAGACGTGGCACCTTGCTGAGCTCCCAGAGCCCTGCCAGGCCTGGGGGCTCTCGAACGTGGAGGGAACTGAGGAAGGGCACTGCCAGCCACAAGTACGGGGTGGTTTCCCCTGGAGTGTTCTATGGGCTGCACTTTTCCCATTAAAGAACTCAACATGGAAATCTTCATTAAAGCCACTCTTGATAGAAAATACTTGAAAGCCATTTCAGCATGAGGCCTCACAACTCTCTTGTTGCCTGCACATAGCCCAGCTGGAAGCACACAGGCCAAAAGATGTGGCACCAAGAGACTGGGCACCACAAAAGATCCCACAGGTGGTTGCAGACAGGGGAGCAAGAGTTTCTCCAGTTTTTCTGTGCAAGATGACAGCAGGGAAGGTGGGATTATATCGGATTAAATCAATGCAAGGATCCTTTTGTTACATGCAAAGATCCATAAGGTGCTGGTGTGTGACCAGGACCCGGTGCCATCAGAGTGCCTCAGTCAGGGCCCATCGTGCTTTGAAACCTTCACAATACTGCAGTAGTTCATGAAGTGAAAGGATGGGGCAAAAAGAGAACAAAATTTCTGCCACAAGATACCACAAAAAGTAACCGATATTAACTATTTTATAAAAACTGCTGAGAATCAAAAACCCCACAGGATTTAGTTCAGGGTTTTTTCAGAATACCAGAGGGCTTACCACTTACAAAATTTTATTCCCAAAGCAATAAAGCTGCTTTTGGTATAAGCTTGTTTTAAAAGATACACAATTCAGATCCAGGTTTCAGTGCAGCTGCTTTTGATAATGCCTTTAAAACGCTGCTAGAATATGTAAAACGCAAAACAAAGCTGACAGCTTATGTAATAAGCTTTGTCCCGGTTGAATTTCAAGTTACAGTTGTGTAAAGCCAAGCTACAAGAACTGCTATGTAGAACACAAATGGACATCTTGGATGCTTGTTTGAGCATATACATAAGTTGCACTCACTTAAGAAAGATACAGCTTAAGGTACATTGCTTCTTTTAAACAGAGAGATTACAAATAATTACAAGTTACTAAAAAGGTTTACTTGCATTGCTAGTTCCCTGAATCAAAACCTATTCTTTTGTTTTCATCTATGTAATTCTAGACTCATATTATGTCAGTATTACAAAGCAATATTTAAGCCTTTGAACCAAAATATATCTTCTATGTAGGAATCATATGAAAGACAGATATTAGTCATTAATAATTCTTCATTAGTAATTATTACAAAATAATGTTTTAAATTACAAAAAAATCAATTTTTTTTTGTAACTACCATATTAGTATTAGTATTTATAAACAGGATATTCGTTACCTTTTTCCTGGTATTTAAATTGCAATGTGTACCCCTGTCTTTTTCCATGACTAATTTTTGAACACCTGCACCAAACAAATTTTCCAAGTTGATTTTTAGTGCAATTCAAAGTCTAATTCTTTTCCCTGAAGAACTCTGGAAGATAAGAAAAAGCACAGAGGTAGAACCAGCATCCTTGTAAAAAGGGCAGTTTCACTAACAAACTCACTTTATTTTCCTTCTTTAAAATATACAAGGACATTACCACTCAAAATAGCTATTGTGGAGTTTGAGGTCTTTCCTGGAGCTGCTGCCTTATAGAGACCTCCAGTTTGTGTGGCCACCCATGAGTCAGCCACATCTGACCCCATGGCAGGGCCTCACCTCACACACCTTATCCCCAGTCTCTTCCGAGAAAGGTCAGAACTGGCCTGAATCTTCCTGCCTGTTGTCATGATGCTGCTGTTAAGGGCAGACAAAAAGATTGCTTCCCAACCTCAGCGAAAATTACATCATTACTTCTCCTTAATGGGAGATCTGATTAGAAAGGAGCAGTGGGAAAAGTCACCGTTCTCCTTGCCGGTGCAGCTGGCGTCATGGATTATTCAGCATGGCCATGACGACAGACATTAGCCTCCATAACAAAATTATCCAGACCTTTTGACACGCAAGCAGCAAGACTAACACAATATCCTGCAGCAGCAAGGAAGCCTGCCTGCTTCTCCATGAAGAAATACTTCCTGTGTCTTCTGAAGTTTCCAGTCCTTCTTTTCATCCATTGACCTATTCCTGTGATATTTTATGAAACCGGGTGAGATAGGCACAAGTGAATATTTTTATTATAAAATTAGAAAAAAAATCACTAGTGCTGAGCTTCACATTTCCTGTTCCAGGCTAAGCAATGATCTTAAGGGCAAAATTACTTGTCCAGTAGTATTTTTAGAATGAGATCTGTTGTCAGGTTGTGTGTATATATGCATATATATATATTGATGAACAGCAGTTTTAGAACAGAGTATATTTGATATCCACACCTGCCCTGCACTCCCAGCCAGGCAGGAAGGAAGTAGGCAGGGGCTGGGGAGTGTGTGCAGAGTCACGTTTCTGATCTGACCCACACCCTGCAATGGGACTCTAGTTCTTCAAACACTATTTATTTTACCGCCCTGTTCATTCTACTCTCTGTATCACCTGAGTCTTTAAACACATTCCCAAAACACAAGAATATAAGGTTTGTTACAGCAGCTGTATCTCCAGTGTGGTACAAAGCTAAGCAGCAATAAAGCATTTGTCTAAGTAAAGTACTCAAAAGGGAAGTACAGTTTGCTATTTCCTAAAGTTTAAAAGCTTCCTTCATATTTTATGCCAGACTGATTCCTCCAGATGCAGGTCAGCTTCAGGGTACAAAACACAGACAGCTGCTTGTTTCTGCCTGAGGCCCAAGGGCCGGACAGCTTTTCCCAGTGGTTTTGTTCGGATCATGGAGATTCCCTTTTCTTTTCCCACAGGGAGCAGGTTGCAGTGGAGCACGGTCATCTCCATGATAGTGTTTGCATGGCTGTTTGCTGCCTTTTGGGCCGTGATGCCCTTACTGGGGTGGGGGGAATATGACTACGAACCCCTCCGAACCTGCTGCACCCTGGACTACAGCAAAGGGGACAGGTGAGGGCCAGGGCCAGCTCCCACAGGGGTGGGGTGGAGGCTGCTATCCCCTGGGGTGGCCTCAGCAGCACACCAAAACTGCTGTCTCCCATCACTGCTGCTGGGGCAGATGTCCCTCCCAAAGGCTGCCTTGACTCACATGGTGGCATGTGGGAACAGCTTCCTCTGCAGGAGAGGCTGGTGCTCATGTTTCTGCTACTCCCTTGCTCATCTATAAGCTGTATCTTTTCTCTGTTTAGGACTTAAACCTCTTTCAAAGGGGTTTTGGGTTTATACAGTCCAGTGCAAATGTCTGAGTAGGGTTGTTTGGGTTTAGAAAGCAAATACCTGTTGTAATTTTCTACAGTATTATCCATCCCACACAACAGCGTGGCACAGCTTAACTGCCCTTCAGCAAATGCTGCAACTAAAGCATGTTGACAAAACTGGTTTTAGCAATTTTAAAAATACAAGTTGGTAAATACTAACAGCAAGTTTACATAGATACATTAGACAGGAATTAACAACCTCTTTTTTTTCCCCCCCTCACCCTTTCCAGAAACTATGCCACATACCTTTTTTCTATGGCTACTTTCAATTTCCTGGTCCCGGGCTTCATCATGCTGACGGCCTATCAGTCCATACACCAAAAGTTCAGGAAAAGTGGGAACTATAAGGTAAGAAAGTTCCCTCAGCCCCTGCAATCACCTTGCCAAAATAGGGCTGCATACAGCAGAGGTAAAGTCCTTGAAAAAAAAAAAAACCTATTTCTTTCATAAAGGCTTTGGTTCAACTCCTTCTGTGCTGACTCCCCAGTGCTACTTGAGTAGGAGGGTAGTGCAACACAGGATGGAGCCGCGTAGAAAGTTCATGGAAACATTATTCTTAGAGATTTCAACATTTTACCAGATGGCCACATCTGCCCCAACCTAGTGCTGTAAACAGTTCCCCATCAAAGAGGGAGTTGGACCAGTGATCCTGAGGATTTCCCTCCATCAACACTGATCCAACTCTCCTCACAAAATTAACACACAGCATGCAGAATATTTGCCAAATGCATATCAATATTTATCCAGAGAAATTTAGCTCAGGAAGGATTGTTATTTCCTGCTTTGCTACAAGCCCTTAGCTTATCACTGAGGAAGTCAGAACTACAGCTCTGAAAGGAAACACGGAGGCACCCTATGGGGGGAAAGGGGCCTTTCCATACACATTGTGTTTTCACTTGGCTGAGGAAATTCAGAAATCTTTATGAGCTGAAAACGAACGTTTGTGTGTGGCAGTTTTATGGGAATGTAAGGTGGTGATTATATGAGTTGTTTCCTTAGGTGCAGGCCATACAGTCTGGGGCACTGTGCATGGCTGGTGGGCACAGCCTGACCCCTGCACTCAGTAAAGACAGTTAGTTCTCAAGGGGAGTGTTATACCAGCAAAGAGACAGTCAGGCAGACTGTTTTGTAGCTGACTGGAATAAATACATGTGCCCTCTACATATTTCTTGAATAAATCTCAGTGATCTTTATGCCTATCACCTTTTTTTTTCAATGAGTTTACATGCACTAGCACATGATTTCTTTCTTATGATATTCTATAGCTGTGCAGACAAGTTACAGTGAAGAAAATTTAGGGATGAAATTACTGTTTCTCTAGTCATTAATACTTTTAAGATACTTGGGAACAGCTGACCATGAACACCATGGATAGGACCCTAGAATAAAGGACAGAGGAATCCTGCTACCACAACATAGCCACTGCATCCATCTGTTGCACTGCCAGAGCAGTGGCTTCATACAGTTTATTTGTCTGCAAGACCATCTAAGAAGTCAGCAATTTTTTCCTGTTTTTAAATTTTCACATTGCTTTATCCCTTCAGCAATAATCACTGGCCTTGGCCTCCATATCTAGAACACATTCTGATCTACCACAAGGTATTTTGCCACCTCTGCCACTCCCCACCCACACCTGGAACAGGGCTTTGTGCCCACTGCACAGGCAGCCCTGGAGGCAGAACAGCAGTGGGGTCACACATCCTGTTGGCTGATCCTCTCCTGCTACTGAACACAAACCTCTCCCACTCATTTGGTGCAGCGTGCAATTGTGAAACGCAAAGGAATTTATTGCTCTTGTTTTTCAGTTTAATACTGGTTTACCATTGAAGACACTGTTCATTTGCTGGGGTCCCTATTGCCTTTTATGCTCCTACGCAGCAGTGGAAGACGTGATGTTCATTCCAGCGAAATACCGCATGGTACGTCTGTGCCGCCCGAAGGAATCCAGACAATGATATTCTCCTTACTCTCCTCTCTCTGTTCCTATGGAATGATGCCAATTTACTCACAACTGGGTTTACTTGTTAAAACACATATATATAAAGTAGATCTTTTCCTCAAAGCATTCTGTTCATCTACCACTTTTAAGGCAAAGCAGTTAAGCACAGTGATATAACAAGCAGTGCATCACTGCTTTGATCAAGCAGAAATTTGGGAAGTCAGGGGGTTTTTTTCTTCAGCAGTCAATTAGGGGTCTGTAGCCTTTTCTGCTTCATGGTGTGTAGGAGCTTTTTGTGTCCTTCCCAAAGTCAAGTACCAGCTCAAAATTTTCAGTTTTGAAAAGATTGATTGTCTCATTCATATTTCTAATACTTCTCCATCCTCAAGGAAGCTGTAATTGATCTCTCCTAAGGTTATGCTGCCTCCTCTTTCCCCTTTATTCTATGAGTCTTGGCTCCAAAACCACCTCTGGGTGGTAATATCATGCGAAACCTTTCAACTTTCATTCAGTCCCCAAGAAACAGCCCAGTTTCAGGTCACCAAATTCATTACTGTATTCAATATCCCACATAAAATGCATTAGCAACATCAGCCCACTTATTCATTACAAGGTGTCCATGGCACAGCCTTCACTCCTCCTAAGTGTTTGTATCCACTCTCAACTGAAATATCCCTGTTTCAAGCAATAACGATCTAAATTCTTTCACCTGGAGACTATAATTTCTGGAGCAAGGACTTCCAACCAACCAACTTGCTTTTACTTCTCATCTTTCTGGGGGTAGCACAGTACGACCATTGGAGACAGGCATTTTTTTGGTAAAGGGAAACTGAACCTAGGCTGAAATCAGCCAATTGTCTCCTCAGTGCATTTTGTTATTAATAAATATTGTGTCTCACGACAGATTCCTGCCCTTGTTGCCAAGGCTGCGCCAACGGTGGATGCCTTTGTATATGCCCTGGGAAATGAGAACTACAGAGGAGGAATATGGCAGTTCCTCACAGGACAGAAGATTGAGAAACCAGAGGTTGATAACAAAACTAAATAACCCATTATGGCATTAAGCAAAATTATTGCAGGTACATCAGTGAAAGCAAAATGCTAGAGAAAACTGTGTGCATTCTCTGATATGTATGTGCAAAGGTGGTTCCACATTGGAAAGGCTGTGTATTGGCTACAAACAATGAAGCACAAAAAGAAAGCCCTCCAGATAACTGTCCAAACCATCAGGAGCTGCTTGTCAAACAAGCTGCCTTAAATCTGTGTTGATTGTCATCAGTCTCATTTTATATGTCACTGCAAATAAACTATGTGCTGGAAAGCATTTTTTTTCTCCTGATAAAAGCTAACGTAAAAGCTCAGTAAATTAACTGAAGCAGGATATTCATTTATCCAGTGAGGCCTCATCAGATCAATCTGTGCAGTTTGTCCATATGGTAATGTCTGGATTACTAAAAGATTAAACCAGTATCCAGTATTACACCACATGTCTGTATAAATACCTTGTTCATCTGAACAACTCATTTTCAATGCCTTCAAAATGGGAGTTCCCAAATTTCCATCATGAATCGGATATCCTACTTCCATAAAAACATTTTAGCAGGCATGTTACCCCAGTAAGGAATATTAGCTTGGCTCCTATTCAAGTGAATCACTGTGTGACATTCAGCTTTATCACACACTAAACTGCATCAGATTTTGCAGCTGCTACTTACTAGGACAATAAAATGCTTATAGTCCATCATAAAAAACATTCATCTTTTTGTTGAACATTGAGCAAAAACTAAAGGGAGGTATGACTCAGTTTCTGTTCTAAAATGTCATAAGGATAAAAATTAACTTCACATCTGCCATTAAATTCCCCTATGATCTACATGAGTGAGAACAATCACTGAATCAGTCATGACTGAAGAGTCTGAGCAATTAAAAAGTCATTTATTTTATAATTAACAGAACTTATATGTATTCTGAAGTATTAGGAATTTTAAAATACATTTTAAACACTTGTATTTGCTCATGTCGCTCATACTGCCTATGGGATGAAAAACTGTCAGTTGATGTTGCCTGTTACTACAAGATGTGCCTCAGAATGACCCATTTGTTAAAAAATATGTGCGCGACACAGATTATGAGAGATTGTATGTAAAAAGCCAAACCTAATTGATACTTACAGGAATCATATGGTCCATTTCCAAGCACTGACAGTGAAATGGCTTTTGAAACCAACCAAAGAAAAGGCTGATCTGTCCCTTTGATGCCTTCCAACATATTAGAAGGGAAAACAGTTGTTTAAGGGTTACAAAAGGGTAGATGGAACAATCCTCGAAGCTAAACAATCAGTAGGTAGAAGGGACATTCCCCTCATGGCTAGAGATAGGGAATAAATGTCATTTTGACAGAGAAATCCCAGGGATCCCATTCAAAAATGTGCTTTGAGACTTTGCAAGGCTCAATCTGGTCACAAACTACCTGACAGAGCACTGAATAATGCCATGACAAAATTATTCAAAATAATGACATCTAAAGCTGACAGGTAAGACTTACATCTTAGGTACACATAATATTACACGAGCAGATGACAAAATGTTTGCACTGGTAAATGCAAAATAATGTGTATGGGCACAAAATTACCTTTAAGTATGTACCTACAGTGACAGGCTCTGAATATGTAATTATCTCTTTCTCAGGAAAGAGACCTGGGTAGGTCTTGCAATCATTGGTTCACTTGTCAGGGGGGTCTCACTGACAAATCCCAGCAGAATGCTAAAAAACACTAAAAAAGGAATAGGTAACAAAAGAGGACACATAGTCACACCATTTGAAACCCACTTATTCAGACTTATTGAATAGGGTGCATAGTTTGGGTCATTCCAAGTCACAGAGGATATAGATAAACTAGAAAAGGGTCACAGTGATGATCAAACACAGGGAGAAGCTTGAATACAGCAGGGATAAAATTAAGGAGAGTGCTGGTTCAGAAGAGGTGACTGATGAGGAAAGCAGAGACAGCCTTATTGAACCAGGGATTCAGGGGGGTGAGGGTGGAATGAAGTTTGCTGCTTCCAATAGCAGGAATGATGGGACATGCAGCAAAATTAATTTGAGATGTGTATTTTCTGAAGTTCATGATTTGAGGAGTGTTCTTCATGTGTCTACTGAAACACATTATGGCTTACATAACAAGACTGTAATAGTGTAATAAATAACAGCTTCAGACATTTGGTTAGGGACTGAGTCCCTTTGGCTTAAAGGGAACATACCTCAGGAACTCAGGCTTCAGCTTTTAGTCAATTTTCAAATTGATTTTTGCCTTGCTCCTACTGTAAACTTTTTATTGTGGGAGTAGAAAGCAGCAGAGCTGTTTCTTTGTTCTGTCGGACAGCTACAAACTAAATGTGCCTCTGCTTAGGTTAGTGTTTTCTTTTTTCATTAATTACTGAAAACTAGTGATGGGTAAAGTTGAGTATTATTACTTAGTAAGTTGATAAGTGCTATTCAAGCCTTGAGACAAATGGGGCTTTCCTGAGCAGCATTCAAAGCTATTCTCTACAGCTGCACTGAACAAATGCAAGGTAACAAGATCACTGAAAACTTTCAGACTGAGGGATGGTCCAAAACTTACTGACATACTTCAAAGAACATGGAACATGTTCATACAGCCCAGTGTATTGCCATAAATTTTGGACCACAGCAGAGGCAGTACAGTGCACTACAGTGACATGAGAACAGGTTGTCTCACCCAAGAGGGGCCTCCCACAGCTCTCTGGAGTGAGACCTCACTTCAGATGGTTCCCTGTGCACTGTGTTGCTCCCCTCTGGTCAGAAAACCCACTTGGTTTCACTCTGCACTTCCAAACCTGAAGATGTACATAAACCCTGCATCATTTCTCCTGTCATTTATTTCTGCCATAAGTATCTTAAACAAATGCTTCTCAGTCAGTCAGGCCCACAGCTGTCCCAGCCTAAGGGCTCCTTCGGACAAGTTACAAAGATTCTTCACTGAGTGAAGAGAGGCAAACAAAGCATTTGAACAAACCAGGTGGACTGTAATACCTCCTCAGATCTAGTTCCTAATGCCTTGGCTGATGACTTCCTCCACCAAAGAGTGGAGGAAATGAGGCTGCTCGCAGCTTACTTATTGGATCATGAATAATCTCACTCTGAAACAAAAAAGAGATGGAAATAAACATGAGAGTTTCCAATAACTGGTCACCAACTTCTAGCTCTTACTGACAACTGGTCACTCTTCTAGCTATAACTAGTTCTCTCCACTACTTTACCCACATTAAGAAGAACTGGCTGATGACCACAAAAAGTGCCTCTACAATTTTGCTGTGTTTTGGGAAAATGTCTGGAAGCAAACTGCAGTGCACATGCTTCCTGTTAATTACACAGTTTATCCTTAGCCTTCGCCACAGTACACTGGCCCAGTACCCCATGGCACTGATAATTGTCCAGATCTTGCCAATGGATATCTGTTACCATCCTGATAACATCTGTCACAACAAGGTCCTGTGTCTTGAGTACTTTAGGCAGAAGCATGCAAAATCCCATCATGTTTTTGCACTCTGGAGAATCCCAGATGGCTGGAAATGGGATTTATATTACCCTAACCAAAGTATAGGACAGGGAGTTATACATGGGCTTCAAGACACTCCCATACAGGTGGTATCCCACCTATTATCCAAAGCAAATGGCATAAGAACAAAAAGAGGAGATTCAGCCTAAGTCAGTACAGCCAATATGAATGTCAGTGTCCTGTCACTAAAGATAAGAGTGACCACAACAACCTGCTCACTTTTAAAAGTAATTAGTGGCACTTCCAGCAACTTCACATTAGCCATTTCAACCCTTTGTTGGGGAGGGTTTGAACCATTGCTCACAATCAAAATAGAAGAGGAAAGTGTGGCTCTCCTTAGGGTTCAATTACTTGATTCAATATCCAACCAGTCTCAACACCCAGTGATCTGCAGTATTATATCCAATATCACTTAACCACCCTACTTTCCCTCTTACAGGCAAAGTAATTCTGCTTGTTTGTGTCAGAGTGAACATTTTGACTCATTGATGAAAAACAGAAACAGAAGGCAATTTTTCCTCTTTACCCCTAGAAACAAAGTGTAATTTCTTCAGATTTTCTTTCAGCAGACAGAAATGCCTCACATCTTAAATAGCATCTCTTGCAGTTCTATTTTCAAGGCTATTAAACACCCACAACTCCAAATGAAGTTATAGCATCCTCAGTAATGCTGCAGATCAAGATCTTGCTGACTCAGTTTTCCCACACAGCTCACACTTACAAACACCCAGCAGTTCAATTAAAGGGAGCTGAGTTTTTCTGCAGTGCACATTCTTCATGTGCTTCATACACATTCTGATGTGTTTTTCCTTGCACCTCCAGTGCAGCTGATGGGGACACTACAAACTGATTTAGCAATAGAGTCAGAGGAAGAATTTTCACTCTTCCCAGTCTATCACCATACCACTTCAAAATGCATTATTGTAAAACAGCAAAGTCAGCTGGTTTTGTCACCACAGAGAAAAAAGAGTATTGCCAAATTCCTAAACATGGCCCTAGATGCTAATGACTGGTTTGGTTCAACAAGCTGGGATACAAAGACTAAAAGTGTAACTTAGGATCCTTATAACATGATGACAGCAAGTGTTAATCACAAGTAGTTCTCCTTCCTGTTATGTCTCACCTTAATTTCTGTTCATGTTTCACCTGTGAGGATGACTAAGTAGAGACTCACACCTCAGCCTGTGATATTGAGAGTTTGCATGTTGGAGTAAAACTGCAAAAATATTTAGCACCATCTGCCTATTTATATATATTCACACTAGGATCACAATCAGTGGTCTGTATGAGGTATCCTAGACAGCCTAATACAGTAAATATTCAGAAGGTATTTTGTTTGGAAACAGTCATTTCACTTTCTGCAGAGAAAAAAAAAGAGGATGGATCTGGTGCACCAACATTATGTAAAATAATAAGAATTTTCAAATGGTAAACACACATGCCCACATACCAATCTTAGGTGTTCTTTTGGAGTTTACTAATATAAAGTAATCATTTGTGCATCATTAAAAGAGAACAGGATCCAATAACAGCAACAGAAAGCACAAAAATTCTAAGATCTCAATGATATGCAAGTCTGAATGATTATTAATACAACTGAAATTGTACATGCAAGACTTAAGAATTATTTTTTTTAACACTTTGAGACCCTTGGATTTCCACAGACTGTAATTTATTCCAGTGTTAGCCATGTATGAAATTTTTCAAAGCAGGTTTTGTTCAGAACAGAACACCAGATCATAGAACTGCCAGAAGAGGAGAGCTAGTGCTCTGTAAAGGTGCTGTGCTGGGCTACAGATTTTCCTTCTTTCAGAAGCAGCAGGAGGCAAGCACAGTGGAATACAATTAAGATTATGCACCTAAATGTTTATTTAATGTTGAGAAGTATTGCAGATGCAAATTCACATACCATACAAAGGAATCTAAGTTTAATTAACCCAGGTTTCAAATTAATGTAGACTAATTAAACACTGTTCAGAAACATGATTCAGAGGACAATACTTTTTTTCATTCAGTCTCTAATGGTAAAAAATGTGCTTGCTTTAATAAAAATTTGTTCTTGTGAATGGGTAAAGTAATTGTGCAGTTATAAAACAAGGTCTGATATCTTTACACAGTGCTATCAAAAGTCAAGTTTTAAAAATAATTTTTTTTAACTGGTAGTAGAAGAATGTGACTCTAGGAAGACAAACATTTGTGGCCTACAAACACATATGCCTTATTTTTAAAGGAAGGACTGAAACGGTGACAGCAATAGTTCATTTACATATGCACCAGGCTGGATGGGGCTCTGAGCAGCCTGGTCTAGTGAAAGGTGTCTCTGCCCATAGCAGGGGGATTTGAACTAAATGATCTTTAAGGTCCCTTCAAAACCAAACCAAGCCATTCTATGATTCTATGATATGAAAATCAGCAAAGAAAATTATATAATCAGAAGCAGAGAGCAAACTTTCAAGTCCTACAGCAAGAGTGCTAATTTTTCAATATGCTTTAGATCTTGACAGTGAAAACAAACTGTATATTGACAGGCAACACTTGGAGGCTCTAATTGCTGGAGAAGCCAGTCTAATTTCCTTGGTGAACAGTGAGATAGATTTTTTCGCTCATGGTGTTCAACAATTTGTGCCCACTGGCTGAGATTTGTTCCACTGAACTATACAGGGAGATGCTACGGCAGCATTCTTGATTTCTTTATCAGTGAGCTGACCCATCATTCAAATAAAAGCAGTTTTGCAAGTAAATTATATCACATTAGATGAGAGATCATTGTGCTCAAAAGCAACTGTAGAAGCAGAAGCTTAAGGACGCTATTAACTACAGATAGGGTAGGGAAAATACCATTGAACAAATAGAGGGAAAGCAAAACCAATGTTTTGACGGCAATATTTGCCACCTCTTTCACTACTGAACCAGAGTCATTTCAAACTTCAAAGCTGACTCGCACTCCACTGTTATGCTTCTGGCTCAGCAACTCACTGAGTGGCAGCATCTCCTAGATAAGACATAGAATGGCACCTCTGATGTATGGATCAAATGCTCTATTTCCCAGAGGAGTTTGAAGCCTTTCCTTCACTAGGAAGGTTTCAACTTTCTTGAAATAGACAACAAGCAAAAATCTTAATGAAGGCAAGACAGTGGGCTGATTGAGTTAGCCCTTTATCTACAAGGAGACTACATATTGAGTTACCTGGCATGGCTATGCAATATATCAGCTCCTGGAGGATAGTCCCCAAGCCTGAGTCTGGTCCCCAAGCTCTCCCTAAAAGTGGAATCCACACAGAACGTAAGGAAAATCATCTCAGACTATAAATCTGAAAAAATGTTTCGTTTTTTTTATTTTATATCCTACCCACTTGGCTTTTGTCACCACACTGAGTCACTTCCCCACAGCCTATTTTCAGCAAAGATTCAAAGCCCGGGACTAGGCAACTCAGAATCATTGAATCTAAGTTGAAAAATACCTAACCATCAACCCAGCACTGCCAAGTCCACCACTAAACCATGTCCCTAAGTGCCAAATCTACACATCTTTAAAATAACTCCAGGGTTGGTAACTCTACCACTTCCCTGGGTAGCCTGTTCCAATGCTTGACGTTTTGGTGAAGAAATTTCTCCTAATGTTCAGTCTAAAGCCCCTCTGGTTCAACTTGAGTCCATGTCCTCTTATCTTATCACTTGTTACTTGGGAGAAGAAAGCAATGCCTTTCTTGTAGTGAGGGGTCCAACACTGAACACAGTACTCAAGGTGCAGCCTCATCAGTGCCTCACCAGTGCCAATACTGGCAGATTTTAAAATACAGGTCATAGGCAGATATGGGGACATTTTTAAGCCAGAAACTTTTTCTTGATCAACTTTTTGGTTTTGACTTTCCATCCTATAGTCACATATTTAGGCAACATAAAAATGTGGGAGGTAGTAACTAAGAGATAGATGAGTTATCATTACAGGATGACCTGAGTCATCAGGGAAAATAGCTGTAACCTGACAAAATGTATTTTGGTAAGATCAAGTGTTTGAGCTCCAAGAATGGCAGTTGCTTATATTTATATAAGGGAAGACTTTGCTTTGAAAAACAGAGCTCAGAAAAGGATTTAGGGGTCATTATAGATAATCTTCTCAATGTAAGCTGTCTGGGTAATGCTGTTGCAAAAAGGACTAATGAGATTCTTGAATATGGGTGAGGGAGAATAACATGAAGCAGAAATAATGAAGGATTTCAGCATCGCTTGGTAGCAGTGCCAGGACCCTTACTAGGTTAGTGAATCCTGTCCTGGTGTCCGCATTTTAAAGAGGATTTGAAGACATTGGACAGAGTTCAAGTGAGTGTCACAAATGAATTCTCTGGCTTTAACAAAAAAGCCCATGCCTTCTGACGTGATGGGTAAGAAGTTCAACATATTCAGCTCACTGAAGAGAAAGCATAGACATACCTTCATCCCACTGTGAAGGTAATTGCTCTTGGGAAAGATATACATGAGGAGCATTCCAATCTGCCTGACTGAGATCCAATGAATAAAAGCTGAATTTTAAAAAATTCAGTCTTGAAATAAGGGAAAATTTCACAGCAGCAAAGTAA